AATGGATCCTTTGGCACAAGAATCTAAGATATTTGATAACAATGGAAGGATATGATTCATACCTGAAGGGTGTTATTGCAGACTGAAGAAGACTAACTGCCTATTATATGGAAGGCAATGAGTGTTTTATTTGGGACAGTATCAAAGACAATAAAAAGTGATTAGAGAAAATTAGAAAGTGTGAAAAAACCAAGAAAGTGATGTCTAAAGTAGTTAGAGAATATCCATTCTTAATGTTACCAGGTTGAACTTGCCAAGAATAGGGGCAGCATAAATTGGCTAATCTCCCAATTGCAAACTTTTTAGAAAAGAGGTGTTCATGTAACAGAAACCCTAGCAGCGGAACTAAGGGGATTGGAGGAGTTTTTACAGCAATATTTTCAGCTGCTGCTGATAACAAGTAATGTCTGACAGACCAGTCAATGTAAGAGCTCAGTTGGATATGTTATCTATGGGACACCTGTCACCAAGAATAATAACCCCAATTCGGTTAAGGGAAGTGTTGTTGGACATATAGACTAGATTACCTCATCACCTTAGGTTACCTGTGGACCCCACCAAACAGTTATGAAAGCATTATAGTACCCTGGGACGTGTCACCTTATTGGAGAATAAGAAGTTGTTAGTACTGGTATCAGTACCTCTGTTAGATAAGGATAGTACCTATGAGATATATCAATCTGTCCATGCCATATCCTAAAACCAATCAAAAATTAGAAGCCGTAGCTAGGTATAAGATGGAATGGGACTTTTTAGCCTTGAATTTGGCACCTGTGTATCTGCAAGTCCAATCTATGTGGCTGGTAGCCATGATCTGTGTGTACTTTAATTATTTAAGAAAAATAAGAGGAGAATTAAAAAGCACTGTCAAATAAAAGTATTGCCCAGTGTTATATTACCTACAGCCATTAGCATATCAGATGGGATTTGGGCAGTAGCCACCCAAGGGGGATTAAAATTATCTAAGGCTGTGAAGAAGAAGCCACTAGAACTATAAAGGTGAAGCCACCATTGTTCATTGTAGAGTTATCAATGGATTGTGGAGCTCATGGACTCTCACTGACACTTCCCCCCTATTACCAGGCCAAAGAAAAATTTGAAGCAAAAGAATCTTTTTTGAAATTAGTGTCAACCAATGCGAGTAAATGGACAGAATTATGGGGAACCCATAGTAAAGGGGTACCCTGAGTTTCTCTTTAGAGAAAATGCCAGACTTATTGAAGCCCCTTGATAAAATTAACTTGGAAGAATTAAAATCTAAATTAGGCTTAGTGGAAGGAAATAGTTCAAATTGAGAAGAGAATAGATGGGCTATAATAGTTTGGCCAACTGTTGTAGGAATATTATTAGTCATATTATTGATAGTAGTAATCTGGTGGTGGCTGAAGAGGTGAGTGAAGTTGTCATGCAGATGAAGTGAACTGTCTGGTAAGTACCCGAGCAAAAGAGGGATTCCATTAAGTGAGCTTCATAAAAGCATATCCAATGTGAATGCGATTGAACCTACTGTGGAATTACAAGGAGAGTCGAACTGTTTCCTGTTGGGGAGAACCCCAAATCGACTACAGAAATCATATTAAAGCTAAGACGGACAGAAAGGATAAGAAGTAAAACAGTACAATGACTGATTAAATAATGTGGAGTGTTGAGAACTCCAGAAAAAAAATAAATAAATAAAATAATTGTGATTATTTTTTTAACTGGACATGAAATTGAAATTAAAAAAAAAAAGAAAAAAAAAAGAAAAGAAAAGTATTATTGTGATTATTTTATTTATTTTTTAACTGTACATGAAATTGAGAAAAAAAAAGTGAAATTATTTTTTAATATAATTTGACATGAAATTGAAAAGAAAGTTATTGTAAGATGTAATTATTATATATAATATCACACTGAAATAATAATAAAGAAAATAAAGGAGAATATGCTGGAAAATAGGAAAAAAAGGCATTTTCAAAAGAACCAAGCTGCTAAAAATGCTGTAAACACTTTAACAATAACAAGACAGCATGAATCTATGTAAAGTTTACCAAAATTGCTCAGAGCTATTAACAGAAAAACTTAGAACATTGGCAATATGGTCAGGGTACTGAAAGATGAAACGAGTGTGAAGTTTAAATTTAGAAGTGTATCAGGAAATGGGTTGAACCGCTCCTAATAAAAGTATATCAGTACGTTCGCACTACAAAAACAAATACGTCACCAGAGCAGAGTTGGGTTGAGAGCAGAGTTGGGTTAAGTGAGGAAGTGACACCAGAGATTGGAACAAAGCACCCACTAACATGTGCTGTTGATATAAATACCGCTGCTCCTGCTACCACTAATATAACTACTACTATTACTGGGGATGGTAACATTGACAGTTGTAGTAGTTGCAGTAAAAACAAACCAAAAAGGGTTGAAATGAAGCCACCTCTCTCCTTTAATGAAATTACACAAAGTATTTTCTTTTGCTTTGTTGATCATCGTTCATATACAAGAGACATTCAACTTTTTGCCACAATAATTGTATTATTATATGTATTGCTGATGTTATATATATAAAAAACTTTTGTCCCTCTAAAATTAGATTGACTTGGCTATATTTATTGCTGGTAACCCGATTCTCACCCAACAAGCTTGCAGGTAGACCAATTGAGAGCTTTGGGAATTCTACAACCCGATAACTACTCCCCAGGATCAAAAATCACAACATGACTGGTGAGTGGAATTGAATTAACATTTGAAACCGGAGATTTAGGTCTTAACCTGTAATACTGGACCATACAGGACCAACGGCCGGTCTTGTGGATGATGTCAACCCAGTGTGGGGTTAGGATACAGTGTCACATGGACAACTTGACCAGAGATCACCTTCCAACTGACACCATGCAAGAGGATCAGCATTACATTATGAAATTTGGTATATGTGTTATTACTGGCTCCAATGTGATGTTAATCTCATTGAAGTAACTGATGTCATTTTGGGTAAACTATGTGTCATTCAGTTTCTGTATCTTTTTTGTAATGACTTTCTTCCACATGGACAGTAATCTATCCTTTCCTTCTATATACTGGGCGTCCCAAAATTCACACTACCATTAAAAATCAATGTAAATTTTATATTTATTTACAAAATGAAATAATGGTTCAGTATGGGATAATATATTATTTGAAAGTTTTATTGGATGAATTATGGAAGATAATTTCATGCAAATTTGCAATTTCACAAGTGCACGTTTTCTTCCAATTGCAGTGTGACTTTTGGGAAACCCTGAATAATCTATAAATTTTATAATCTTCACGGAGATCATCTTTTTATTGCAATTAAATATCTGTTTTTACTTTTCTTGCCATAACTGCATCACATAATGCACATTCAGTCTTTGGTCATCAAAATATCCTATTAGGTACACATAATTGGAGTTAAAATAAGAAGAAAAAGGAAGAACTCTGATCTAAAACTTTTTTCTAATTTGTTACAATAATTTTAGTTAATAAATTTGAGAATGATCGTAACTATAAAGCAATTTGGTTTATATCAGGTCATCCCATAAGTTCTGTCCAAATTTTGAATAAAGAAAACAAGTGACGAAATGTTACATTTAATTACAGATTCAATCAACAATGTATTTTCCCTAATTATCTATGACTTCCTTCCATCTATTAACAAGCTTACTAATTCCATTACTGTAAAATTCTTTTGGCTTTGATTCAAAGAAGTCACAAATGTCAGTTTTAACCTCTTCCTGTGTTACAAAAGCTGTTTCTTCCAAATGATTCTGTAAGCTACGAAACAAATCTTTTCGATTCACTAGAGTAGGTCTTTTTTTCCTCAAAGCTTGGTTCAAACACTGTAATTGCTGACAGTATATTTGAGCATTAATTGTTGCATTAGGTGGTAAGAATTCAAAGTGGATTATTCCTTGGCGATACCACCAGATTGAAAGAAGAACCTTTTGCCCATGAAGTTCCCTTCTTGGATGTGGCTGGGGACCTTCCCCTTTACCAAGCCACTGTCTACAATGCTTAACATTTCGATAAAAGATCCATTTTTCGTCGCCAGTCACAAGTCTATCCAAAAAAGGTGGAACAAGTTGGTGAGAATGGAGAGAAGAGCAGATGTCAATTCAGGATTTAATATTGTCTTCAGACAATTCATGAGGCACCCATTTTCCAAGTTTAGGAACTTTTCCAAGTTGTTGAAGATGACGATGAATAGTTGTATGGTTTGAACTGAGAACCACAGCCAATTCCTCAACTGATAAAGCAGGATTTTATTCAAGGGCTGCTTCAGGAAGCTTTTCATTAAACTCAACTGGACGTCCGGTTTGATCTTCATCTTCAAGGGTGAAATCTCCATTTCTGAATTTTGCAAACCATCTTCTGCAAGTTATTTCATTCGCACATTCCTCTCTATAAACTGAGTGAATGTTTCTAGCCGCTTCAGCTGCTGAGTTTCCTTTCTTGAACTCATAAAGCATTATGTGCCTCAAATGATTCTTGGGTACTTCCATGTTAGCAGGGTTTTAATCAAACAAAATTTAATTTTATTGTTCTCTGAAATAAAATTTGATATGTTTAAATGCATCTAAACATAAAAATAATGTTCAGCTCCATTAGACATTATAAAATACTCTTTAAATTTCGTTCATTTTAAAAAAAAGGTAAAATTCAGACAGAACTTATGGGATGACCTGATAGATATTAAAAAGAATGTTAGTCCAATATTGGAAGCAATGATACTAGTAATAATAATAGTGTCAAGATCAATTTTAAATGTACATATCTCCAAATGCTTTTCAACTTTCCTTCTGTTAGAAGCAAGCCAAACACTATGTAAGAATTTCCTTTACACCCCAACATAGTATACTTTTAAAACACTTAATATTCAAGGCTGTTCATATTTATTTATATTTTTAATAAACGTATAGATTTACATTTATTGATTACATTACAAATTATAGCTAAACAAAACTCATGCACAGGAGAAAATTGAACTATGCTAAATATTTACTTACCAGCCGTAATGGTATTATCAGACTGATCAGAGCTAGGACTATGAGTACTGTTGTCATCTTCTGTCTCTTCGAATTCCGTCTGTTTTTGCAGTGGTTTTGGTGGACGACGCTCTACAGGCTCTGCCATAATTAAAACTTGGACTAGAATAAATTAGATAAAAAATGAATTAAGAAATTAGATAAAAAATAAATTTTTAGAAATAAACGTGCCAATTTTTTTTTTAGGTAATAATAAATTTCATTGGGTTCACAAAAAATATTAGAAATATTTCAGTAGTATTTAACATAAAACAAGAATAATAACTGTTTAACAAATTTACTCTTTGCCTTTAGCCTGTTCAATTTCTAATAATTTTATCATGCCTAATAATTATCTTTATTATTCTTGATAATCTATAAAATCTTAAAATTTTTAAGTATCTATTAAGCAACAAAAAAACAATTAGAAACATACAAACTGAAAAACTAAAAAACACTTTGAACAGACTATGAGAATTATAGTGGAGAAAAAAAGAGTTATATCAATCTTAGGATTGCATTTTAGTGTATAGTTTTTAGAAATTTCATATTCAAATTCACCTTGTAGCATATTTTAGGGGAGATTTTTCTTTTAATTCTGAATTAAGTATTTAGAAAGACAAGATAAATATTGTGTCATTAATACATATATAGTTATACCTGGCAAAAAAGAAAAAAGTCACTGAAAAGCCTAAGGAAGTTTTCAACTAAGAATCAAAAGCAAATTGTATTTCTAAAATTGAAATATAATTAAAATTTGCATAAAACACTATCAATAATTTAGCTAGTCATATGTTAGAGTACAAATCAACAATTATCTAACTAATATATTAAAATAATATTAAAAATTGTTTAATTTCTTAATCGTTAAAATCGGACAAAAAGTGCTAAAAGAATCTATCATTTGAGAAAATTGGATAAATGAGAACCAAAAATAAGTTTTAATTTACACAACACTACTACAATTGCAAATATAAGATTAATTTATTTAGACAGAAATAAAATCAATGTACAAAGACAAACTAAGATTGTATTCAGACTTTACACATTTTTGATGAACACAGAAATAGACGCTATTTATATTATTCAGACTATTGTTCTCATCTTTGTCGCCATATTTATTACGTTTCGGCATTGTACGTTCAGGTGGTTGGAATGTCGAACTGAACCCTCAACTCAAGGACACATGGTACAGTGGATAAAGGCGTTAGTTAGATCCAGTGACAGGACCCAAAGAGTGTGAGTTCAATACCTGGTTAAGACAGTAGAGAACTTGGAGAAGGGAATTAACAGGAGATAACTGATAACTGACATCCATTAGACATGGCACGTGAAACTAGAACAGTCTACTCCAGTGAGTGAAATAAAGAGTTCAGTTCGACATTCCAACCACCTGAAGAAGGTCGGAGTGTACAACGACCAAAATGTAATAAATATGGCAACAAAGATGAGGACAATAGTCCGAATAATATAAATAGCGTACATATTACCTCATCTCAGAAATATAGACAGGTAATGCAGAAATAGTGTTAAGAGAAACTAAATGAATGCCATAAGAAACATTTGTAACTGATATAATTCTCCAAAGATATCTAGATACACCTCGCATTTATATTGCTATCACTGTTTGTTTGTACTGTTCTCCTATATAGCTATGGCACAATAAGAATACATTTTATAATTATTTCTATTTGGTTAACTTTTCAGATAAGCTTGATTAAAGTAGGTATCTAAAATTTACATATATTTGAAAGACATTTCACATAAATTTTTCCACTATCACAAAAATATTGCTAAATGTGAAAATATGTATTTAAAAAAAAAAGCACCATTGTAAACATTTTTTTTAAAATACAAAATAAATAAGAATTACCTGAAAGAGTCTGGGCTGTACAAGTTATTTAACTGTATACAGTCAAGTTGAGCAACAGTTGCACTAGCAACCTAGGCAATATTAAGCAAAAAACTGAACAAAAGAAATTCAAACCTTGAAGAGGACGAAAGAGGTGGAAATAAAGTCCTTTGTAATTGTAGGATAAAAAATAATTGTCCCTTAAATAGGGTATGTTGTACAGAACAGGTAGTGTATTGTGCCAGGGTAGAAAATAACAGTGGTATTGAAAAAAAATACATTGGTTGCACTGAAGGCCAATTTAAAAATTTAGAATACCAGAACGCAAGTTCAATACAAAACTGGTGAACTACTATTGGAACTTCAGGGAAAAAAAATGAAAAATGAAGCCTGGTCATTAAGTGGAGTATTTTACAGAATGCAAAAGCTAGTAAATTGAATGGCAATTCATGTAGACTGTGTCAGGAGAAGCTAGTTATTGCAACGTACAAGGTTAGCGCTGAGTTGTTGAATGGAAGGTCTGAAATTATGGCTAAACGTAGGAACATCAGGAAGTTAACTTTGGAGCAATACGAACCTGGATGAAGTTGGAAAAAAATTTTCCCCCCTCTCCCCTTCATTTCTTCCCTCCCATTACTTCTGGTTCCATATTAAGGCATTTAAGTTCTTGAGTTATCTCTGATAATTCGCTGAGTAAATCACCTGACGAGACCTTGGCAGTCAAAACCATGGTACTGTGTCAGTTTTATCTTTTTTAGATATTAAATAGCTCTACAGGTTTGATTTTTTTTTTTTTACTTGAAATTGAGCAGTATTTAATGTGTATGATTTTAAGAAATATTTTAGTGTTTATTTCAGTATATATATATATATATATATATATATATGTTTTATTTATATAAAGAAAATGCAATATCAGAAAAATGTCAGTTAATTGCTGAAACTTCCTGAAGTGTAGATTGAACAATTACAAAAAAAAGTGAATTTACAAAAATTTTATTTAATCATATATAATTTATTTGAAAATTATAACATAAAATGTTAAAAATCACTATGAAAATAGCCATTTTGTTTCAACTCTTCTGGTGTCTTATCAAGTGATGGCATTGAATGTAGAATAAAGAGTTTATATATATATATATATATATATATATATATATATATATATATAGTATTCATCCAAACAAATTTGATTAACAAGCTCTGTTTCATTTTTTATTTTATTATATTTTTCAAATAAAGTGTTGAGTATTATGCTTGAAGTTCATATTTTCTTATTTTTGTTCAAGTACTTTTGACTATCACAGTCATTATCAGGAATCAATATGATGGGTGTGGTAAATAGATCCTTTGTCTACATCCTGATAGGTCAATCTGCAAGAGAGCGTGGTGTATGTTTTTTGATTATTAGTGTTGGAGATGCAATATTCCAAGGGGTATGAAAATTCATAGACAATATTATTTTTATATAGGGTGGATTTTTGAGGCCTGGTATTGTTGGTAATAATTAGTTGTTTTGAACTTTTTATAGTAGATTGTAAATCTTAGATGTTTGTTAGAATCGTTGACTGATATGTACTGTAGATTATTTTTAATTGCTTTTTCATCTGGTTAAGGGTGCATTCTGTTATGACAGAATAAGTTAATGGGTGTTCATTTTTGTGATATTTTTTGTTCACCAATAATATATGTAATAGAAATTAATAGCATCTATTAAAATGTGGAAAATGACAAGAATTTAACATTTTTAGGCTAGCAGAGTTTTTGTAAAAATGTGCTAAAGGGACAATAGTCACTAATTTATTCAATGTTCAAGCAATTTATCTCTTATAGACTCCAGTTTCATGCAATATTGTTCATCAGGATCAAAGTGTCCATTAAATCTATTGAATTATTACCAGATATCATATTTATACTTTAGGAGAGTAAATGCTAATTAGGAATCCAAATTTGAAATATGTACTCTGTTAGAGTCTTTTAAGAACATGAAAATATTTAAATATTTGGAAGCAGTTAAAATGTATTAATTATAAAATATCATTTTATAAAAAACAACTTATAAAACACAGTAAATTATATATATATATATATATATATATATGAATTACATAAAAATGAAACCCAATTGTACCCTATTTTTATGGTCATTTCGCTCCTCAGGATAAATTCTCTGGAGCTTGTCAATACTAAAACTTTTTTTTTTTTTTAAATCAATCGTTTTGGTATTGACAAGCTCCAGGGTTATCCAAGTTATCCGAAGTGAAATGGCCATAAAAATGGGGTACAACTGAGTTTCATTTTTATGTAATTCATTTCTATGCTCTCTAATAAATATATTGAGTTCTCTTTTGTGGATCAGTTTTAATATTTTATATTAATAGGATTCACTTGGATTACTTACCCATGGATTTATATACATATATATGTATATATATATATATATATATACACACACACATAATAAATTAAGTAATAAGTGGAAAAAAACAACACTACTAATACCAAGCCTGCAAAAAAAAGAAAAAAATGAAAGAAAATAGACACCTACCCAATCAAAAGTTTGCAGTTCTCAATGTCTATAGAATAAAGGAATGAGAAAAAGAAACTAAATTAAGACAGAGCTGTAACAATAACAACCAGGAATAGGTCCTGGTTGTTATTGTTACAGGATACATTCCTGGTGGAGGTTGATATATATATATTATAATTATTTTCTTTTTTAAAAATAAGATTCCATTGCAACACAGAAATTTCTATGTTCCAAAACTGAAACTAAAGTTGTAAATTTAATAATAAAAATCAAACTTAAAATCCAGAGTTTTGTTCCATTGTCAAGAAGCACAGACAATCTTAATATTTTGAGTTGTTATGGTTAAGGAAAATTCAATTTATTTTGATTAGGGGTGGTTGGGTTTTAATTTCCCTAGACAACTTATGTATCAAATATATGTTACTTACAAAGTCAGGTTAAGTTTAGGTGGGGTGGGGGTGCCTGCTCACAAACATAGACATCTGTTATTTAAATATGAGTAAGTCATATTTTTTAATATTTAAATTTTATTCCTACAGATTTAATGTACCATTCCTCCTAATAACTAATAGACTATACAGTATTTTTACAAATATATTAGAATTTAATTACTAATTAATGATCAAGTATAAATATGTATGTTTCATATCTCTTCTTTTTTTTTTCATTTCTTTGTATCAATGTATCAAACACTGTTTTTTTTTGTTTTTTTTAAAATATAAATAATTGCTAAGAACACCG